GATCCGTAAGCAATGGGGAGATTCATATGCGGAAACAAGTGATGATCTGATGAAGCATATGCAAGAGCAATTTAAGGAAAAAGCTCGTAAATCAGAGTAAGATCACTCACTCTTACTTGCATCATACTAAGTCTCACAGAGACTTAGTATTCATTTCAACTCAGAACTACTCTCCTGAACTGTTTCATCTCTTGGGCATCTTTTAGCTGATACAGTATTTGAATTGACTTGAGTTTTCAGGTCAACCTACTATGCTGCTACAGATGTGGTTATTCTCAGATTTATGATTGAGGCTTGTTGGGCTCCTATGCTTGCTGCATTCAGTGTGCCGCTAGACCAGAGTGATGATTTGATAGTGATCAACATATGTCTTGAAGGCTTCCACCATGCAATCCATGCCACTTCGTTGATGTCAATGAAGACCCATAGAGATGCTTTTGTGACTTCACTAGCGAAGTTCACTTCACTTCACTCCCCAGCTGATATCAAGCAGAGAAATATCGAAGCCATTAAGGTTGGTATTCTACTTCATTAAGGTTTATGTGATTGTTGTATATACTAGTTCCGCTCCCTCGCTGTACCAAAAAAACATGATATGTATCTTGAGTATACTTTCCCCATCTGACCTCGTTCTCAGTCCATTCCTTGTCACCTTTTATGTCGATGATATATTCCTGATCTCACTGTCGCCTTTTCCCCTTTAAACTTGTCTGGATCCCACATTAATATTGGTTGTTTTCCAGGCGATTCTCAGACTTGCTGATGAAGAGGGCAACTATTTGCAAGATGCCTGGGAGCATATTCTAACTTGTGTTTCCCGTTTTGAGCAACTACATCTCTTGGGAGAAGGTGCTCCTCCAGATGCCACTTTTTTTGCTTCCAAGCAAAATGAGTCAGAGAAATCAAAGCAACCCAAACAATATATACTTCCTGTTCTGAAAAGGAAGGGTCCTGGGAAAAGTCAATATGCAGCTACAGGTGTCTTGAGGGGTTCATACGACAGCATGAGTCTTGGCGGAAAAGGTTCTAAGAACGTGAGACAAGAACAAATGAGCAGTATAGTCTCAAATTTGAACTTGTTGGAGCAGGTTGGTGAAATGAATCAAATATTTTCTCAGAGTCAGAAACTAAACAGTGAAGCTATAATAGACTTTGTTAAAGCTCTCTGCAAAGTTTCTATGGATGAGTTGCGGTCTCCTTCTAATCCACGCGTTTTTAGCCTCACGAAGATTGTTGAGATAGCGTAAGAATCGCCTAGTTTCTTTCCTCTTTTTTCTCTCATATACTGCATATAAGAGACGTTCTGTGTTCTTAGCAACTTTAAGTATATAGTCTGACAATTTTCTGTTTGTAATTGGTGACAGGCATTATAACATGAACCGCATAAGGCTTGTTTGGTCAAGCATCTGGCAAGTTCTATCGGGTTTCTTTGTGACCATTGGATGCTCAGAGAATCTTTCTATTGCAATATTTGCAATGGATTCTCTGCGCCAGTTGTCAATGAAATTCCTGGAACGGGAGGAGTTGGCTAATTACAACTTCCAAAACGAGTTTATGACACCTTTTGTCATCGTTATGCGTAGAAGTAATGATGTTGAGATCAGAGAACTTATCATCCGGTGTGTTTCTCAGATGGTATTGTCGCGTGTAAATAATGTTAAGTCAGGATGGAAAAGCATGTTCATGGTAGGCATTTATTGTACTTCTCTGGTAACCACATTAATTCAACAAGTTTTTGGTTCACTCATGTGTCCTCACAATATGTTTTCTTTCTTTACAGGTTTTTACCACAGCGGCGTATGATGACCACAAAAACATTGTGTTTTTGTCCTTTGAAATTATCGAGAAGATTATTCGAGAATATTTCCCATACATCACTGAGACAGAAACCACCACTTTTACAGATTGTGTGAATTGCCTAGTTGCATTCACCAATAACAGATTTAGCAAGGATATCAGTCTCAGTTCTATAGCTTTCCTCCGATATTGTGCAACAAAGCTTGCAGAAGGAGATCTTAACTCGCTATCAACAAACAAAGACAAGGAAAATTCTGGAAAGATTCCTCAGTCATCTCTCCACAGTGGAAAAAGTGGGAAACAAGAGAACGGAGAGATTGTAAACAACAATAATCATCTCTACTTTTGGTTTCCCTTACTATCAGGTATAACATGAAATTAAATAATCTCTACATTAGGCATTTTCTAACTACCTATTTTCGCTTTTAGTTGATGATTCTATTCATGTGTTTCACCTTCCTCTGTCTAATGTGCAGGCTTATCAGAGCTTAGTTTCGATCCAAGACCAGAAATCAGGAAAAGCGCACTACAGATTATGTTTGATACCTTACGCAACCACGGCCATTTATTTTCTCTACCATTATGGGAAAAAATATTCGAGTCTGTATTATTTCCTATATTCGATTACGTACGGCATTCTATTGATCCTTCTGGCGAAGACGAATCTGCTGATCAAGGAAGTTATGGTGGCGATGTGGATGAGCTAGATCATGATGCCTGGCTCTACGAGACCTGTACATTAGCACTACAGCTTGTAGTGGATCTCTTTGTCAAATTTTACACTACAGTCAATCCACTTCTAAAGAAAGTACTAATGCTTCTTGTGAGCTTCATAAAGAGACCTCACCAAAGCCTTGCAGGGATTGGTATTGCTGCGTTTGTTCGTCTGATGAGCGATGCTGATGGCTTGTTCTCTGAAGAAAAGTGGTTAGAGGTGGTGTCAGCTTTAAAAGAAGCGGCAAAAACAACTTGCCCAGATTTTTCGTATTTCCTTAGCGAAGAATTTGTAGAAAGAAGCCAGAGAAATGCTCTCAACATTCAGAACAGTAATGCTGAGTCTGCTGCTCCAACTGCTACCGATGGTAATGAAGAGAGTCAGAGAACAGCAACCCATCTTTACGCCTCTATCTCTGATGCTAAGTGCCGAGCCGCTGTTCAACTTTTGTTGATCCAGGTTAGTTCTTCTCAAGCCTTACGTTTATGTATTATAAAATATGTGTGTTCCTTTCAATTGGACCGACAACCGACAACTTCTATATTCTTTAATCGAATGTTCTTTTGTAAATTGTTAACTCAAAATGCAAACGCAAACAGAAGGAGAAACTCAGGGGTCTTTTCCGTTAATGATTTTCCAAAAAAAAATATATGCAATTTTGTTGTTGTTGTAGTAATGTTTCTACTTTTTTCAGGCTGTGATGGAGATTTACAACATGTACAGACCTCAGCTTTCAGCGATAAACACATTAGTCCTCTTAGATGCATTGCACGGTGTAGCTTTACATGCTCACGGAATAAACAGTAACACAATACTTCGTTCAAGACTACAAGAGCTAGGACCCATGACACAGATGCAAGATCCTCCACTACTTCGTCTCGAAAACGAGTCTTACCAAATCTGCCTGACATTCTTACAGAATCTTGTTGCAGACAAAACCAAAAAAGAAGAAGAAGAAGAGGAAATAGAATCACTTCTAGTCAACATCTGTCAAGAAGTTCTCAACTTCTACATCGAGACTTCTGCTTCTGCGAAAAAACAACAATCAGAATCATCAAGGGCCAGCGAATACCGATGGAGAATACCTTTGGGATCAGGAAAACGAAGAGAACTAGCAGCAAGAGCTCCTCTTATAGTTGCAACACTTCAAGCAATATGTACATTAGAAGAGGCATCATTTGAGAAGAACCTGAAATGTCTATTTCCACTTCTGGCTAGCTTGATTAGCTGCGAACACGGGTCTAACGAGGTTCAGACTGCTCTTGCTGACATGCTTGGCTTATCGGTTGGCCCGGTTTTACTCCAGTGGTGCTGATTTTTGCTCTCTTTTCTTTTTGGCTTTCGTCTTTCACTTTGGCTTGTGATGTTAATGCTTGCCTTTATAGAGTTCTCTTTTTAATTCATAGCGGTTCTATATAACACTCGTTTAATGGACTTGATGGGCTTAAACTTCTCGTAAGCCCAATATTTGCAAGCTAACTCTTCAGGCACTTTTGGTGGTCTCCAAGACTACGTCGCCGTATTTGTCCTTAGGGGGAGTGATTTTTCATTTTTCCAAAGTTCTAATTGGGTAAATCCGTGGAACAAGTCTCAAGTAAGGCATTTGTGAACGTTGCATCATTAACACAATCTCAAAGGCGAGGTTTGAAGCCTATTTCGAGAAAATTAGTCAAGTCTTGCATAATATTAAATTGATAACTTTAGGCTAGTCTTCACTACCACACATTTAAAAGCTATCAACGAATAACGAGTGATTTCAGGACCGTGATTTATTTACAGTAAAATTCGTCACGTCACACGTGCCGACGTGCGTGCTTTGACATGGGCGAATTAATGGTATATACTTTAAACAAAATCTCCCAAAGAACGATGAACATTAATGAGCAACTACCACAAATTACTTAACAAACAGCAGAGCCAAATTAATGCTCAGCTATTCTCAATTTTCTTTAAATGTCCAATATAAAGCATAACATGTTCACTAGCCATATTTGAGTGATTATGATCATTATTAAACAGTATTGTGTATGCTATAGTAAGTATTAGTACATGATGTTGCATTAGATTGCATGGGTTTCAGAGCCATATGTGCCTATAATCACTACTAGGCTCTCTAACAAATAAATACAAAACCTGAACCGGTCGGGTAAGTGAGTGGGTGGGTGTGTGAACATAGATGGATTGAAGGAATCACGCTCACACGCCGTGGTTCCTTTTAGACGCAGCTTCTCTTCTTCATAATCCTAATCGGTCAAACACATTCGCACACAATCCAAATCCACTCACTTTTGACAAGTGTCGTCCGGAATTGACTTGAGAGTGTTGCTAAAAGGAGAACTGCTAAAATCACCTGGTTATACTATATAAATTCAAATTTCAAAAAATGAAAAGAAAAAAATCTTCACGCGTGCGTCAGAAGGCATTGCACGTGTGGACTGACACCTAGCATTTGCTGTCTCCAACCCCATCCTTTTTTTTTGTATTTCCATAAGGTTTTTGGTATTATAAGGGATTAGCATTTCAATTATACATGCACATATTTATAGGTCGGATTCTGACATAAATTTACAATGACAAAGACTACAAATCGATAAATCAATGAGTATAGACAGAAAGATATGTCTTATTTTCTTCTACTAATTAAAATAGCCAAAAGGGACTTAATGTAGTGTATAGAATGGTAAATTATGAGTAGTTAAATATCCCACAAGACACGGTCTAACTCGTTGTGTTTTGTAATCTGACTTCATTAGTGTTGTTTGGATCCCAATCCAATTCCCCATGTCCGGCACATGCTTGCCTTTCACAGTTTCACGCGCATTCAAATCTTTCCTTTTTTCATAAATTTCCCCATCACGGTTAACGGTAATTCGTTGGTGTATCTTTTCAATAAACACCTGTTTGTTTGTTATATTGCTTCGTATTTTCACTTTTTTATTCAACTCTTTGTTTTCCTTGAACTTCACACTTCAAAAGACCAAAACTAGTGGAACCCAAATTCCGCACCATGGGGGCATGCTCTTGTGTTATTGCCAAAACAGAACCCATCATCCTTCTGATTTTTTTACCTTAAGCCACAACCTAAACCCTAAACCTCCATATCTCAAACCCTCCTCTCTCCTACAAGTATCACTACTTCACTTCCACTTTTCATTGATCTCATCTTCTAAGCCCTAACTATATGTATATATAAATAACTCTATCTTTGATTCATTTTAACTTCTTTCAAATCTAATCAACCTAGCTGAAAGCCTTCTTTTTCCCTATCTTGACGACTAACTTTTAGCGAATCAGAAGAGGAACTTAGTTTGTTTTTTTAAAGAAGAAATGGATGAGGTCTCTCGTTCTCATCCACCGCATTTTTTATCAAGTGATCTTCATCACTATCACCATCAAAACGCTGGACTAAAACGCGACAGAGAAGAAGACGATGTTGAACCCAACAACGACTACTCTAATTCCTCCGGCAAAGACCAAGACACTACTCCTTCAGAAGGAGGGAATATCAAGAAGAGGAGACCACGTGGAAGACCCGCAGGTTCCAAAAACAAACCCAAAGCACCGATCATAGTCACTCGCGACTCTGCGAACGCCTTCAGATGCCACGTCATGGAGATAACCAACGGCTGCGATGTAATGGAAAGCTTAGCCGTCTTCGCTAGACGCCGTCAGCGTGGCGTTTGCGTCTTGACTGGAAACGGCGCCGTTACAAACGTCACTGTTAGACAACCCGGCGGAGGCGTCGTTAGTTTACACGGACGGTTCGAGATTCTCTCTCTCTCGGGCTCGTTTCTTCCTCCACCGGCTCCACCGGCTGCGACTGGTTTAACGGTTTACTTAGCCGGTGGTCAAGGTCAAGTGATCGGAGGCAGTTTGGTGGGACCGCTTATGGCTTCAGGTCCGGTGGTGATTATGGCAGCTTCGTTTGGAAACGCAGCTTACGAGAGGCTGCAACTAGAGGAGGAGGAAACTGATAGAGAAATAGATGGAAACGCCAGTATGGCGGTTGGAACGCAAACGCAGAAACAGTTAATGCATGATGCGACATCGTTTGTACAAGGGTCACCGTCGAATTTAATCAACTCTGTTTCGTTGCCAAGTGAAGCTTATTGGGGAACGCAACGACCGTCTTTCCAAGATAATATCCTTATAATATAATTTTCGTTTTCTTATTTTTATTTTTACTTCTAAATTTTCTAAAGATTTTCCTAGGTTTTGATTCTAATGTTTGATCAATGCCTGAAAGGTTTTGGAAGATTTTCGATTGGATCAACAATGTGTGTTGTGAGTCGTGAGTGGAAACGCAATGGTCTGATCTCGGTTTGATCTTATATATATTAGGTAATTAGTGTTGGGCTTTTGAGTGTGAATATCCCGTAGACTAGATGTTTATATATCGTAGAAGTTGATTTCGAATGTTATCTTCATGTGTTTTCTGATAAATGATTATAGCTTGATCATAATTAAGAAGTTGGTATAGAATGCTTGAATATACACCCCCCTAAATATTTGTGCACAAGTAGCCCAAGAAAACAATTCATACGAAAAGTGCCTGCCAATGCAATCACTTTGTTTAATGGCACAAAACGTGGGAACAAGATGATTGCATTGACATACACTTTCCTTAAGACTTTTTACTTGAACTACTTTGCACAAACATGTATATTTTGTAATTTGTATATATATACACACACATACATAATGGTTATACACGCGAGTCAATATTTTGTGTGCTATAGTAGGATTTACATAACGAAAATTTCAATTCGTAAACTATAGAACAACAACATTATGAAAATAATGATTTTCCCCTGATTAACTTACAATTTTTTTTTAATCGAATCCTATCAGAATTCAGAAACATACTTAAAATCAAACAAATCTTTATTATTATCTAAACAAAATCGAACCATGCCGTTTAATATAGACAGACAAAGTCCAATCCCACGCGCATAAGGTATGCGTCATAATACAAGCGCGCGGAAACGAGTGTGGGCCGAATCTCAACCATCTTAAAGCCCAATTTAATGAGGAATTAAAGAAAGGGGAAGCCCTAAAGTGGCCTCCATGGTTCATCATCTTCTCTCCCGCCGCTTTCATTTCCTCCTTACAAAACCTATTTACTTTTGCCGGAATCTGACGTCAGCATGCCCTGCAAGCACTTCCAGAGCTCAATCGATCTTGACCTCGTTGCGACGTTTTCCGCTTCGATTATCGACAGTGTGCCCACTCTTATCATCACCGCCTACAACTGATTTTGTCTTCTTTCTCGTCGTTCGAATTTGATTCTACTACTGTTCCGATTGAATTTAAAAGATGGCAACTTTGAAAGGTTACGGCTTGATCTCCATTGACTCTGCCCTCCATTTTCCTCGCTCACATCAATTGGAGAGCTACAAGAGGTTGCTCTCTCTCTCACTTATCTATGCCTAATCTTATTGGGATTATAGTTACTGGTATTGGATTTCTTTTGGATAGCTCTCTAGTGTAATTGAAACTTTTGTCTCACCTAATGATCTCTGGAATTGAAAGTGTCAAAGATGATTATAACATAGGTAGAACAATGAATATACAGAGTTGGTTAGTAAAGCAATCATTATCTTTTTTGAAGAATCGGATTTATATCTGTTGATTGATTGGCTAGATTAATGCATTAATTGGTGTTTGTGAGAGATTGTCTTATGATCTCTGAGTGATTTATTTGCTCATCAAACCAGAAGGAATGCGAAATGGGTCTCTCCAAAAGCAGCTGTTGTACCTAACTTCCATCTTCCAATGCGCAGTCTCGAGGATAAAAACAGGTCTCGATTTTCGCATCTTCTTTTCCTTCTGATGTTTACTATTGTTTTTTGTTTGTTCAAGCTATCAGCTTTCTCTTTTTTTTTGGTTTGCAGGACAAACACAGACGACATTAGGTCACTTAGAGTGATCACAGCCATTAAGACACCGTATCTACCTGATGGAAGATTCGACCTCCAAGCGTACGATGACTTAGTCAACATGCAGATAGAAAACGGTGCTGAAGGTGTGATTGTTGGTGGTACAACCGGGGAAGGCCAATTGATGAGCTGGGATGAACACATAATGCTTATAGGCCACACGGTTAATTGTTTTGGCGGAAGAATCAAAGTCATTGGAAACACTGGAAGCAACTCTACTAGGGAAGCTATACATGCCACTGAGCAAGGATTCGCTGTGGGAATGCACGGGGCACTGCACATTAACCCTTACTATGGAAAAACATCCATTGAAGGCATGACCGCGCATTTTCAAACCGTTCTTCATATGGGACCGACGATTATTTACAATGTTCCTGGCCGAACGAGTCAAGATATACCTCCCCAGGTTATCTTTAAACTCTCCCGGAACCCTAATATGGCTGGGGTTAAGGAATGCGTTGGTAATAACCGTGTTGAAGAGTATACTGAGAATGGAATTGTCGTCTGGAGTGGAAATGATGATCAGTGCCATGATTCTAGATGGGATCACGGTGCAACTGGAGTGATATCGGTTACTAGCAATTTAGTTCCGGGTTTGATGAGGAAGTTGATGTTTGAAGGTAGAAACTCAGCGTTGAACTCAAAGCTTCTTCCTTTAATGGATTGGCTATTCCAAGAACCGAATCCGATTGGTGTTAACACTGCTTTGGCTCAGTTAGGAGTTGCGAGGCCGGTTTTTCGGTTACCTTATGTGCCATTGCCTCTATCCAAAAGGATTGAGTTCGTAAGGCTAGTGAAGGAAATCGGAAGGGAGCATTTTGTAGGAGACAGAGATGTTCAGGTACTTGATGATGATGACTTCATCTTAATCGGTCGATATTAGAGTCTCTTCCTTGAAGATTGGTTGTGTTTATACTCTCTTCGTTCAGTTATTAGTTATTGAGCTTATGAGAAATTTACAGATGGATCATAGAGTTGTTCTACTTGTTGTAATGTTTGGTCTGTTACTTTTGGTGATGAATCTGATGGCTTTTGCTTACTCTATCTCTCTCTCCCTCTCCTCTTTGAATGATTGTGTTTTGTCTTTGCATGTTTGGCTCTGTTATATGAAACGGCATGATGGTTGTCTGAGGTTTTGGTCGTCGGAAACATCGCTATCACGGATCGGGATAGTAAGCAACGAAAGTTTTTAGTTGAAAATGATCATGGATATGTATGTTAATACCTGTACATGAAAAAAAAAATCAAAACTTTGATAGAAAAGTAAATCACCCATCATAAATCATTAGTTTGATTTATTTATTTTATTTTAGAAGGTGGGAAAAGAAAAAGAAGAAGACGAGAAGAAACGTAATCAGGAAACAAGATTCACGAAGATCACAGAAGCAAGGAGGTGGCAACAGGGGAGGGTTTTGGATGAAGCAGAGCAAACAGAGCATTGTTTTCTTGGTGGAGAAGAAGAGCTTTCTTTTTTAAAGCTTCATTCTCTCGCATGATGCTTTGATTCGCTACGAAAAGCTTCAAGTTTCTCATCTCCATCACCTTCTGTTCCTTCAGTAATCTTCTTCTCCTGCTTCCAAAGAAAAAGAAAGTTCTGTTTTATAAAATTCAGAAAGCTAAAACTGAGTTAATGTGCTGAAGAAGCTTGATATATACGGAAGGTGAAACTGAACCTGGTGAGATTAAGGATACGAAGATGGGATTGTGTCTTAGATTTATGTTTGTTGTGGTACGAAGATGGTCTCATGGTTGGTGTGTGAGTGTCTGGGAATGGTGGCTCTGAAGATGTCAGACACATCTTCTTATGGTTTTATCCCACAGAAAGAACTGAGTAAACACAATGGAAGAGTAAGCTTTATATAGATGATCTATAAAGCTGTTGTGCCTTTTGAGATAGAGAGAGATGAATAAAGAAAAGGCTTTTGAAGGTAATGATGGCAAAAGGAAACTCATGATTATAGGAGGGGCCAGGGATGCATGAGTTCAGGACGAAGATGATGAAGAAGAAGACCAAAACAGACTCTCTTCTCTCTCCCAGACTCTCTATTTCTTGTTCTTGAGGGAATAGTTACTATACTAATAGAGGAAACTTAGTAGAAACACTTGAGAGGTACATACCTAAATCGACCATAACAAATAACAAATCATTCAATTTCATACTAATTGATTACTTTAGTTGTAATGATCAACTACAGAAAAATATCACATGAAATTTGGACCAACTACAATTTGATTTTTAAAAGTTATATTTTCTCCATAAGCAACTTTTATTTTCAAAAGAAAACTCCTTTGCCTTACTACCAAACCCATTTCAATGGTCGAAGTCTTGGATTTGCGGTTTGGCATCTCCTGTCCAAACCAGGTTTCCCTCATAATTGGGGTCTAATTTTAAGGAAAAAAACCTTGGTTCCAAAGAGACTTATATATCTTGTTCCTATGTAAAATCTAAGCATGTGATGACTAGTGAAAAAATATAATTGATCTCAAGGACTAGGACCACTATAAAACTCTTACTCATTTCTTGTGTTGATATTTTTTTGAGATGCAACCAAATTTGATAGACAAACAAAAAAAGAAATAAAGAAGGGTGAAGAAAACTAATACTACTAAAGACTAAATTGCAAATTGTAGGAGCTAGTCAACATCCGGAATTATTATCATGCTACAAAATGATCAAAGCTGTTATGATTCTATACCTACATTCTATACTATTTCTAGCCATTCTTAGAGTAGGCATTGTCTACCACAATCAAAGAGATGAAGTATATTCTTCATGTTATACAAGCTAGAGCATAAAAAAGAAGCACAAAAGAAGGATCAAAAATGGCCAAAGATTTACCACATAGATTGTGGGTAATTTCCGAAATTGCTACAATGATGAGTTTTGATGCATAGGAGTGGTCCATATCAAAATCACCACGCCCCTTCTTTACTGCAAGATGGTACCATATATGAATCCCTAGCTAGCGTAGAACTCCCATGCATAATGCGTCTCTATCTATAAACATTCAAATCTTTAATCATTTTGCTTAAATTGTCAACTACAAAAACATTAAAGATGTTATTAACAGTTTCACTGATTAAGCATCAAATTTGAACATTAAAAGAGAATTACCTAAAGGAATCTAGTTTTTCATATTAGAGCATTAGAAACAAAGCGGTGCATAAGACTGCACAAATCATAGTTATGATAAGCGATGTTATCAGCGAAGGAGACTATGCAACCCTTTGGATTTAGACTCAGATAGATGTTTTAGATAATAGCTCTGCATCAAGTGGCCGGTTCCTATGCAATATTATCTTTCATCTTCTACCTTCTCAGTTCTCACCAACATCAGACACCGTTTAAAACAAGGGAAAAGGCGGGGGACTTTGAAGTCCAAACCGTCTAAAATGAGTGTCGTCTATTAAAAAACGACAGGCTGTGTCGGTAAGGTGGGCTCTCTTGGGCTCTGAAGAATAGTTAATGGGCTTAGATTAAACAAAATCTTTTTAGGCAAAAGTGAATTTTCTATTTTTAAAGGACGTGTGGACCCGAAGAGACTCTTCGTTTTCTCTCCACGTGGGATTTCACAAGTTCAAGTTCCAACGGTCCATTTTTAGTTATTTATTTATTTTGGTGCAAAATTCCAACGGTCCATTAATCCACGCATTTAATATTACGACGTATAAGCGAAGTTTCTTAGCATAATTAGAGACCAAATTAAAAAGCAAGGAAGAACAAAACTGGAAAAGTACTAGTTAATTAGAAGATCTCGATATTTCAACACTACTACTACTACTACAAACGAACACACCAAAACAAAACGAAAACAATCATCCAAGCCTGAATTAACTAAAAAGATTAACTTAAACCTTAACACTCTAATCCCAGTCTTTAACAAACAGAATCACAAAAATAAAATAAAAATTAAAGAAGGGAGACAATGGCAGTCTTCGTAATTACGGGGAGTTGTAAGGTTTATTTTATGACAAGAGAGATGTGGCGGCAAGAGTGACCAATGCGGTGAACAACGCAGGAGCCGTCACGTGCAACGCCGCGTTTTTCGCATTACTGTTCTCTGAACTTGTCGGCGAGTCTGACGGGGCTCCTTCCGGCGAAGATTCATCCACCGGAGGTGCTGGCGGAGAAGCTGCGGTTGGAGAAGGTGCTTCAACTGGAGACGGTGCATTAGCCGGAGACGGTGTCGGTGCGCTCACTGGCTCCGGTGCCGGTGCAGGCGCCGGAGATGGAGATTTTCCGAAAAGCTCAGTGGGGAGGAGTACATTATCCACCGTGAATATCACGACAGGTGTCTCATCGACCACCGTGTCGGCGAGTCTCGACGGACCAACACCGGTATGGAGGATAACCTCGTCGCCAGAAGTTGACGTCGTTAAATCGTATTTACCGGCGCCGTTAGTGGCTAATGTGGAGATAGCGTCTTTGTTAGTCTTCAACGATCCTTTAGGTTTGTATTCAGCGAGGGCGTGATACTCTAGGAGCGAGACCACCTCAGCTTGCGTGAGGTTCGTCAGATCTGGTACACCTTTAGCTTTAAAGGCTTCATCGGACGGTGCAAAAACCGTCAAGCCTTTTTCAACGGTGGATTCGTAGGTTTTAAGAACACCACTCGATACGAGCAAATTCGCGAAGGTTTTGCAACCGGCTTTCTCGAGAAGTCCGGTGAGGTTGTTGACACCGCCGGAAGAAGGAGCAGCTGCGGTTAAGATTCCGGGAGCGATGATCGGAGCGTTGATTTCGAGGACGGAGATGTTGTAAGGGATTTGTTTAACGGATTTGGTGTAAGAAGAATCGAGCTTGGATCCAGGAGCGGCGGAGCCAAATCCGACTTTGCCTCCTTTGAGATCGGTGACGTTGACAAATCCTAGGTTTCCGGGAGCGTGTCCGGTGGTTTGGTAAAGCGTGGTGGTGAGAGTTGAGCCTTTAGCTAGCTGATGGAGTTTTAAAGGATCGTAGTAATCGAGGAGGACGAGGAGGCTGAGAGCATTTTTGACGACGGAGAGTGGATGTTTTCCGGCGAGGGAAGACATTGCGCCATTGTTGAGGACAAGGACGGTGATGGTAGTGCGGCTGTTGATTTCGTCGGCGAGCTTTGTCTGAGAAAGGTAGTTGTTGAATGAGGAATATTCCGGCGTATCAGAAAGGATTTGAGTGATGTTATGGCCGGAGACGGTATAAGCAACGGCGAGGAGAGATAAAGTGAATGCGAAGAGAGAGAAAGCTCGTGATACCGCCATTGGAATTTGGACGGTTAAGTCGAACTGTGGAGAAGTGAAAGTAAGAAGACAATTATGAGTGAGAAATGAAGTTATGTAATAAGAAGAAGAAGAGGTTAAATATTAACCATGGTTATACTAAAGAGTTAACTATGGTTAATATAAGAACACGTGCTTGCTTTTGCTAATAAGCCTAAAATCACGAAAATGGGCTTTGGGCTTCTTTTTGTATGGTTCGTCTTCCAAAAAGCAACCGTTATATCATTATCATCACTTTTTTAACGTCACCATTATGATTATCAGCTAGAGTTAACCATGGTCAACTAGCTTAACTAATTTGAGTTTATTTGTTGATGCTCATTAGATAATCATCCAAAATTTTGTAAAAGGCACTCAGATAAAAAAAAGGATTCAGATATTTTACTTGCAATCTATATCGTTCGTACTTCGTAGACTCATTAATAAGTGTCGGTATCAGTTTTTAAATACTTGGTCAATAGTTGGTAACAACTTTTGAAAATGGAAAGAAGGTTCTAATTTCCCGACAAAGCACTGATAAAGAAATTATTTTATTTTAGAGAAAAGGACAAACAGAATAGTTGTTTACTACATATCATGTAAAAATCTACGAAAGTTTTATCATTTTGATAAGAAAAATACAAATAAACATTCACAAATTAATAAACCATTATTTATAATGGGCGGAGATGAGGCTTTATTTTCTTAATTTGATGAGCCCATTTATAAGGCTAAATAACACGTGTGAGCACGTGTCACTCTTCAGCTTCACATGATTTTGTATTGGGCCTGCAATAAGCCCAAACTACGTAAGCCGGTCAAAAACAAACGACGAAGACAAAAGCTCCGCCGCAGAATCTCAGATCGGATATTTAGACGGAGAGAGATGCAGAGGGACGTGTCGAGCTGCAACACTTACAACTATGGAGACGCTCTCTATTGGGACGCTCGTTACGTGCAAGACGCGCTTTCTTTTGACTGGTACCAACGTTACTCCTCTCTCCGCCCTTTTGTCCGCAGCTTCGTCTCTACTTCTTCACGAGTCCTCATGGTTGGCTGTGGCAACTCCCGTAAATATCTCTTCTTTTCCCAATAGATTTGAAGAACTCTATACCATTGACTGAATTTGACTTGAGCAGCAACCAAATTTAATACACTGTGATTGTCCTGGTCTTCTCTTTGGTGTAGTGATGTCAGAGGATATGGTGAATGATGGGTATGAGGACATCATGAATGTTGATATCTCTTCAGTGGCTATTGAGATGATGCAAACCAAATATGCATCTGTTCCTCAGCTCAAATGTAACACTTCTTTTCACATCTCCAATTTACTTTAAAAATATGTAACGTAAGACGGTAAGAAGCTTTAGTCCTATACTCTGTTTTAACCCAACAGATATGCAAATGGATGTTAGAGATATGAGTTACTTTGCGGACGATTCCTTTGACACTGTTATTGATAAAGGTATGTTGTAGCAGCCAATTTTTACTCTGTTTTTTTTTTTCTCTTATATGGTGGAAAAGCTTAGCAGTGATAATTTGTTACCTGTTGCTCCGGCTGCTGGATTGTGTAGGAACCCTTGATTCATTGATGGTACGGATTCGGATCCTATGTTTCTCGTATTTATGTCTACTTGCGTTTTTAAGTTTTCTTGTTTTGTTTGATACGGTGGATTCCAGTGTGGCAGTGATGCTCTTCTAAGTGCTCCGAGAATGTTGGGTGAAGTTAGCAGGTCACTAATATCATGGCTGCTCCTGGATCATCTCTTATAGTGCCATTTTTTAGATTCTCTTTTATTATATATTCCCAACAAAACTCTCCTCTTTCATATTTGCAGGCTGATTAAACCTGGAGGGACCTACTTTTTGGTAACATACTTTCTCTTGCATTCCCCATATGTCTGCAACTGTTCATAGTCATTGTCACTGGTACTAGAAGGATATGTAAGATATTTTGTGTTTGTTGGGTAGATAACCTACGGTGATCCCAAAGTGAGAATGCCTCATTTGACTCGTTCTGCGTACAACTGGAAGATCTCCTTGTACATTATACGTAAGCTTCCACTTTTTAGCAACAAAAGTTTTCTTATGAAATTGTATTCTTTGCTTCATTACTTTCGAGTTCTTGCAGCAAGACCAGGATTTAAAAGGCCAGAAAGTTGCAGCTCGTCAGCAAAGTCGTGTATGGAAGCTATACCTATAACAAGTGAGGGAATGTTGCCACATGATTATGTTCTGGAGGATCCTGATTCCCATTTTATTTACATATGCAAGAAGAAGGATGAAGAAGAAGCTCAACTACCCTCATACCCATTAATGGCGGATGTTTTGTAGTGGTGATGTCAGTGGATGGCATAGAGGCTAAAACAATGCAAAATTGTGCATGTGTGTTTTTGTCTTCTTGATCCCCATGTAGATCAGCCGATCTATTGTTGTTTTTTGTATGTGTCTTGTGATCTTATCCCAATTGATAGGTCCGAGTCGGAATTGCTCTATAAACTCATAATATCTTTTATACGAATAAACATCTTACTTTATATTCTTCAAAGTCTAATGGATTTCTATGTTCCAGCAGCAAAACTGTAAAATCATTTTGACAAAATAGAAAGGTAAGCTTTACATGGGAAGAAGATAGAACAAAGCTTAAGAGTCGAGAAGTCGGAGTTGGTTTTTTGAATTCAATATCTTGGAAAATGCACCATTAATGTCCTTGCTTAGCTTCTTCTTCTTCTTTTTCATCATTAGCCACAACTCACTTCCCTCTGCAAATCCTCTGTTGCCCGGCTACAGGTTTCTTCCAACAGATCTTGGAGTTAGACATTTCATGGTGAGTTGCTGTTGATTTTATCGAAACAGTTAGATCCATTCGTCATTCCGAGCCAGGCTTCAGTGTCTGATCCACCAACTTCGAGCTTAACTGCAAGCAATTTCAAACAAAACTTCTGTTTTCTTACTAGGTTCTGACTTCTGAGTTAAAAATTAGGAAGAAATACTTAAATCGTGTTGCTCTTTTGCTGATTTTATAGATCAGATATTTCCAAGCATATATAAGGCAATGACAATAAATTATGTCTTCATCAACTGAAACAAAACCATCAGGGGTTCTTCATCAATTAATGAAGAAGCTCAAATGCGAAGAGAGTAACATAACTTACAGCTGGATTGGTGAAGATGATCAACTGTTTATCTTCTGTGGAAACTAAGAGGTTAGTGTTGTCTGTATTCAGAGCCATAGTGGTTATACCCTGCCCTTCACCAAGCTTCAACACATGAAACACCTACAGAAGAAGAAGTTTTGGTTTGTTAGGAGACAATAGCCTAAAACGACATCAAGAGAAATCTAGTGTTTCACATTAATAAATTGTTTGAACAGTAATACCTGAAGAGTGTATAAGTTGAGGAAGCAAATTGAAGGAGATGGTATATTCAATCTCTCAACTTCTTTGCTTCTGTTTGATGAATCTTCTTCACCAGTAAGGATATTAAAACTCCTCGATCCATCAATGTCGAAAAATGAGTTCACACCAATCACAACATTTTGTCCGTCCATGGATAGTTCCATGCAGCTTATGGTACAAGAGGAAGGAAGTCTTGCTTTGGAAATGAGAACTCCGTTAATGGTGAACGTGCTGATACAACTTTCTGATCTACTCCAGACTACTATAACTCCATCTGAAGAAATGCAAAGAGCATGGGCCTCAACGCCAACAAGCCGTCTTATTAGTCGACCTTTTCTTGTGGAATGCAATAGAACATCTGATGACTCTGAGCAGGAAACGACGATTCCTTGATCTGAGCTAACACAGCAACAACTTATTTCTCTTTGGTGGCCACGGAGCACTTGTATGGGCCCTTCAATGCGATGCTTTTTGGCTTTGTTCGCCAAGTTGTTGCTGCTTGCGGAGGAAGATGTTACAGAGCTTGTTGTCTGCTCAGACTCGCTTGTCTGAGAAGTGAATCCCTTATGAAATCTCCACAACAAAACAGTTGTATCACGTGAACCTGTCACAAGGAAGTTGTTGTCTGGAGACAGAGCCAGACATGTTACAGGAGCAGAGTGACCAAAAGCTGTTTCTAGTGTTTTCGCTCCATCAGATGAGACTATCTTGATGCTATTATCCACATGTCCGCCTAATTAACATACATAGATTTTCAATCAAACGATGAATATATTATCAATCACAAAACTTTCATAGAGATCAGAGCCTTCAAAACTGCTTACCAGTGATAATTTCTCCATCGTTAGTGATAGCAGTGACAGACGAACTTCTGATTCCTAATGAGGCAAATGCTTGTGCTTGGGGATATTCCCAATCACTCTTGAACATGCGTATCAATGTTCCGCCAGTTGAACTCGGCTTTCCGTGATGAAAGATGAAAGGAGCATTTTGGCCATCAGGAGTGTTTGGTTGCCACTTGTGCTGTGCAATATGTGCTGCAGGCACATTCATGTCAACAATCACAACAGTATCCGAAGATGCCTTGATGGCTGCAGCAGGTAAGTTGCAGTGTTCTGGAGCTGGAACAGGATACGGTTTTATCGCTTTTGGATTCCGGAAGATGGTCTAAACAAGAATATAAAGTGTTTGTCAAGTTTGAATGGTGAAATTTAGCACAGAGGAAGAGCCATGAATCTTTTACATAAGAACTTACCTGCATATGAAGGACATCTTTTAGAGGCATTCTTTTGATGTGAGGCACAGTCCATAGCTGCGAAGGAGTTTGCCCGAAATTAACTATCTGGTCTTGAGTAGCCTGTTGTTGTACCTTCATCAAATAGCCACATGAATATTCCAGAAACACGGTAATACCAAAATTGAGAAACTCCAATAGACAGATAACTTACTGAATCTGTGATCTTATCAATATCAACAGTCCCCTCGTAGGTAGTGTAGAAGAAAACATTATTGGCCAGTGTAGCTTCCTTACCACGTTGCTTATACCTACATGAATAAGTTCATAAGAAAAACACAAGTGATAAAACAAATCCAACTATCTTACACAGAAATTTTGTGTTGACACCAAGTTTTAGACAAATGTGTTGACAAGATGTTAGTTCAAGAAGAAAACGTACCCGAAAATGAGATCAATCCATTCATGCAAATGTGCAGAGACATGCTCGCTCTCAAGAGCCATTCGTTGTTTGTGTACAAAATCAATCGGGCTTTTAGCCCAAGGAGGAAGTTTTACAGAATCTGATGGGTAAAGAACAACAATATCAGAAATAGATGGTTTCTAATTTCAGGAGTAATATTTCGTGTGGACAAGGAAATAAACTCATACCAAGATTTTCAACCAAGTTCTCGTTGGACAACACCTCAGGAAGGTAAAACAACTCTGGAACCTATAAGCAGTATTAAGGAGGCATAATAAATATGGCTGCAAAGCAGAGGAAGGTGATTAAAGATTTTTGGGAGGAACCAAGTCTTACCAACTCTTTCACATTATTCATATCTTGGAGAACTCCTTTCCAAGTGGCTGCAATGTCTGAAAATATTTGGTCTGCACGATCAAACTTTCGACCTTGCAGTTGAATCAAAAGGGTTGTAAAAGGTTCGACTCTAGCTAGATAATGCAACACCTACACACAAGAAATAACAAATTATAAGACCATCATTAGTGAAAAATCTATCCTATTGCAAATCGAAATACTAATTATTGTTTTTCTTTTGTGATTAAGAGGAAAACATATGTAAGAGAAGAAACTATAGAAACTGTGGTAGATATCATAGAGAAGATAACCTACTGCTCCAGCACTTGAGTAATGTGAACCATAGTGATATTTGGGGATAACTGGATCTTCAAAGCTAGAGTATTGTTCTTGAAACTTTTTCAGCCGCTCCGGGTTCAGTGCACCAATTGGCTGATCATATACGGACCCACATTACAACCAGTTTTCTAGGTTTATGGATCACTATAGGAAAGCATAAAGCCAAAACTAGAGTAAAACTACTAATAATACCACCTTTGAAAGATCCCTGTAATTTGATGGATTTGATAAGTCCAGAATTTCTGAAACATAGTCGCACAAAATCCATGGGAAAACAGGATACTGCAAAGATATACAAAATAAATCAAGATAACCAAAGAGTAAATGATATTAGAGATGTCACATAAGAAAAAGCATTTTCACTAGCACATGATTTACCTGAGTGATGTCATTATAACTACGTCCAGCCAATGTATTGAGCTGCATTAAGTACTCAAAATTGCTGATCTGCAGAAAAGATGAAAAGTATCCAGCTAGAGTTACTTCTCTGCCAGATGTTATTCAAGGGGAAAAAATGAAATTGCATGATGAGAATGAAGGATATTCTTTGGTTACCTCCCATCTAGCCCAACTCTCCATTAACTGTGTTCTTCTCGAAACTTGTTCTGGCTTCTAAAAAGGAAACGATTTATGTAAGTTTTGCAGCACAGAGAAAAATTTACTCAGCTTGGTTCCTAGCTTTGTCCATCATGCACTAAAGAATGGGCAAACAGAGGAAAACAAAACCAAACCTGAGTTGCCAAGTAAATATTTTTCAAATGAGGAGGCCTAGCTTGAACAATAGCCCGACAGGCATTTCTTCGTCCTTCGGTGTTCTATGGTGTTCATCAAACATCATATAGTGAGAGGAGCTAGAAACTTGAAATTTCCAACGAAAGAGATCAATTTAATGTAATGTAGCAGAGAGAGTTTTTTAGATACCCCAAAATCAAAGAAGTAGTTTGAGCGATCCACCATAAATAGTTCAAGAGCACTCTTCCTCAGTAGATATCTGTGAAAGAAAAATATTAACAAGGATATAGGTCTCCATCACTATTTACATAACAATGTGGAGAAAATAGTTAGCTAGAGACAATATTTATGATGGAACCTTACCGTCGGCTATAAATCTGATGAAGAGAAGACATCAGCCAACTACGATCTCTTTCTTTGTCTCTTAATTTTAAACCATCTGATTTACCATCCAAATGTTGGTCTTCTCTGATGTCAACAATAAAATTTATTCTCCGTGTTGTGATCTGAGAAAGACAGAAACCAACCATTAGAAACTAGTAGTTCATACAAAATATGGTCAGTTATGCTCTGTTTTATTTCTTGGTCATCAATAGAATATTCATTTGTGTTAGCTATTTGTTCAAAAGATAAATAGGTAATGTTAGTCAGAGCATACTTGAAAGGTTCCTTTCACAACCCCTAGTGGTCGGACCATAGTAGAGGAAATTTCAAGGATGATCCTTTCTTTAAGTTCACTGAGATCAACTTCTGGAGAATTTTGAACCATGTTCTGTTCACTCAAAGGTCGATGATCGTTGATTCCAGTTGACAGTGTTATTGCATCCTCAAGTGAGCCAGACCTCCTCTCTTCGTTTTCCCCTTTGTGTCCAACATTACCCTCTATTTCAAGATCATTGGCATCTCCATGTTCATTATCTTCATACATTATTTCCTTTGAAATTGCTTCAACAGCAAGAACAGGTGCATCCTGCTTATTCTTCAAATCTGTCTGATCATCATAGTTTCTTGTTGTCTCAAGATGATCAGTACCAGAGTA